GGGGTGAAGCAGTGGGGCTGCCCCCTCACCCTTCCCTGGCCGTGACAGGACCCCCAAGAGGCGCAGAGACACCTTGGCCGTGACCATGGGGAGCCAGGCCTATGCCAACGTCTCCTGGCCTGCCCCCGGGAGCCCTGGCGACGCAACCGTGGCCCACGAGGCTGAGCTGGACTCGAAGATGCAGAAGGACTTCCGCCTCTTTGAGGACAAGGTCGTTCGGGACCGGACAGTCATCGGCAACCTGCGCCACTTCACCGAGTACCGGATCGACATCCATGCCTGCAACCACGCGGCCCAGACGGTGGGGTGCAGCGCCGCAGCCTTCGTCTTTGCTCGGACGATGCCGGAAGGTGAGCCAAAATGGGTTACCCTTTTTCCTTGCTGAAAGCTGCCGATCAGTCCCTTTGCTGAGTAAAATCCTCCCTGAGCTAATCCAGGAAATTAGAATCCACCTCTGGTCAATCCAGATTCTACCTCTTAGTTGCCCCCCCTCTCCTTCCTTTGACGGGGAGGCTCGGTCACCAGTCCAAGGAGGCCCCTCCCTCTTCCTAGTTTTGCCCAACGGCCTTTGCCTCCTCCTGGCCAGCTCAAGCCGACAACATCCCTGGGAACCTGACCTGGGAGCCGGCCAGCAAGAACAGCGTCCTCCTCCGCTGGCAGGAGCCCAAGAACCCCAACGGCCTCATTCTCAAGTACGAGATCAAGTACAGCCGGGAGAGCGAGGTGAGGAGGGGGCTGCCAGGGGGTGGGCAGGCGGGCAGAGGTCCTGGGTGGCTTCTTGGCATCACCCCCCCCACCAGCCGCTCCCCCAGCCACCCTCACCTCGGCTTCCCCGCAGAAAGTCATCTCGGTGCTCTGCGTGTCCCGCCATCGCTACGCCAGCTACGGCGGCTACCACCTCGCCCTCCTCCAGCCCGGCAATTACTCCGCCAGGGTCCGGGCCACCTCCCTGGCAGGAAACGGCTCCTGGACCAGCCTGATGACCTTCTACATCCTCGGGGGAGGTGGGTGTCCGAGCCATCGGGCTTTTCTCTAGGTGCTTTTCCTCCTGGGGGAGGGGGTGCTGATCGAGGGGCAGGGGAGGCCTTGTGCCCCAGGTCTGGTGAGTGCAGCAGCCCCCCCCCCCAGTGTTGGCAGGGGGTCTTAGTTCACCAACCCCTGGAGCCAAAAGATGCTGCGATGTTCATTCCTCCTTGCCTTTGCTTCTCTCGGCCTCTTCACTTGTGAGAACTGGGAAGCCTGCTTGGTGGGCTCCAGCTCCCAGAATTCCCTGGCCAGATGGGCCATTGCTGAGAATGCTGGGAATTGAAGTCCAGACCTCTGGAAACTGGCCCACCAGCAAACAGGACAAACGGGAGCAGTTAAGAAGGAGGCAGGTAGCCAGGTTCTGTCGTTTCAGCCACCGGTGAAATTAACTACACTTGGAAAACATAAATAATAGATGGATAGATGATAGAGATAGATAGAGGGAGGGAGGGAAGGAGGGAGAGATTTTATAAGAATATAAACAAGAGAAAGGTAATTTTAGGATTAAATTCTGTAGTCCTTTTACTTTAGGAAATAATTGCCAGCCATTTATAAATGTAATAGAACTTGGTAAAAATGGTTTAAGCTCAAATAATTGTTCCGCAGCTTTTAAGTATCCCCTCGAAAGAAAATCCCCGGGGAAGGAGGGGAAGTTTCCCCTTAAGTTTATTTCCCCGACTTTTGCAACAGACGAAGAGTTATTACCTCTCCCTTGAAACTCGCCTAGCCAGCAGCTGGGAGTGTGTTGCCAAACAGAGGGAAAAATAACAAGCGTGCAAAAGGTTTATTTGGCCTAGTGAAGGGGAACGGAAGGAAATATTGCCTAAACAACAGGTGATTAGACGGGGGGGGGGGGGGTCTCCAAGCAATCTCCTCTCAGCAGGAAAAAGCAAATGTTCTCCATGGTTTGTGTTCGTTGGTTTGGTCAGTCGGGGTGCGATAATTGCTCTCCTTTGGCAAACCCCCTTTCCAAGCAGAGGAAGAGGAATCTGGAAACTTCTACCTGTTCCTGACGCTCACCCCGGTGGTTCTGGTGCTCGGCATCACCTGCCTGGCCGTCTTTGTTTTCTTGTACAATCGGAAGAGGTACGGCTTCCCTCCCTTTAGGGGCTCACCGTTAAATGGCCGGGTTGGGTTAAAAACAGGGGCGGTGTTCTTTGTGGCCGAGCCCGAGAGCCACGTTGCCATCCCGAAAGGGGGGGGGAGGGTGCCAAGTGCAAAAGCAGGGTTGGACCCCCTTGTGCCGTCTGGGGGCAGCCGTGCCGGTGGGCGGCTTCTTCCTCTGCTGAGCGAGGTCTGCCTCGTCCAAATGGCTCAAGCGACGCAGGAGCACCTGAAAAAATGCCAGCCGCCTCCCCTCCCTGAGCCCTGAACTTTGCCCCCCCCCGATCTTGGCTGCGCAGGAGGACCGAAGGGTACCCCAGCGGCACGCTCTATGCCTCGGTCAACCCCGAATACTTCAGTGCCTCCAACAGTGAGTGAAGAGGCAGGGAGGGGCGGAGGGCTGGGGGCTCTTGGGGGACACCTCCGGGGGTCTTTGGCAAGTGTCCCTGCCTTCCCCCCCCCCCTCAGTGTACGTCGCCGACGAGTGGGAGGTTCCCCGGGAGCGGATCACCATCCTGCGAGAGCTGGGCCAGGGATCCTTTGGGATGGTCTACGAGGGGATTGCCAAGGATCTGGAGCAGGAGGGCGAGGAGACCCGGGTGGCGCTGAAGACCGTCAACGAGCTGGCCTCCCTGCGGGAGCGCATCGAGTTCCTGAACGAGGCCTCCGTCATGAAGGCCTTCCGCTGCCACCATGTGGTAAGGGGCAGGCGCCCAGAGCAAGCGGGGGGCCCCTCTTTCCCGCCAGGAAGAAGAGCGAGGAGGCACCCCCGCAGTGTTGGGGGTGAAAGAAACGCAGCTGAGCTCTCATTCAGCCGCCCATTTTCTGCCCATGCCAGCATGGGGTGGGGGGGTGGGGGGGATGGGGGGAAACTCCTTCCAGGGAAGGCAAAGGCCTGTTCAACTCCTGCTGGACTCTGGACCTCTGGAGCGTCGTGGAAAGGGGCCACGTGGTGGTTGCTTTCCTTCCCGGGAAGCGGCTCCAGCTTCCCAGACCAGGCATCTCCTGGTGACTCCTCTACCTTGGCCTCAGCAGGTCTGAGCCCAACAGCTTTTCCAGGGCCCAGATGGGTCTGGCCTGGGACTGGCCAGGGTCAGGCTTGGTAGGGCCCCTGAACCGCTCTCCAATGCCAGATGCTCTCCTTTGTCTTCGGGGCCTCCAGGTCCGCCTCCTCGGGGTGGTGTCCCAAGGCCAGCCGGCTGTGGTCATCATGGAGCTGATGACCAGGGGAGATTTGAAAAGCTACCTGCGCTCCCTCCGTCCGGAAGCCGAGGTGGGTCCCCCCCTCCCCCCCAGTAAGGCTCAGGTTGCAGGCAGGGCTGGATCCCCGTGGCTGGATCCCCGTGGAGACTCTCTGGAGCAGAGCAAAAAACTCCCCAGTGCTGGCAAGGACTTCAAAGCGGTTCCAAGCGATGGGGAGGGAGGGAAACCTGGTCGTCACGGCCAGCCCCACTTCCTTGTGGAGCCTGGCTTCCATCAGCGGTGGCTTTCCCACAGCAACAAACTAGCGTTTGTTATCCTCTGGACGCTCCCCGAGGCCCAATCATCCCTGCCCCATTTCAGTTCCCTGTTCTGACCCCCCTGGGGCCTCTCCTTCCAGAATAACCCGGGTTTGCCTCCCCCGTCGCTGAAGGACATGATCCAAATGGCCGGAGAGATTGCCGATGGCATGGCCTACCTCAATGCCAAGAAGTTTGTCCACCGGGACCTTGCGGCTCGCAACTGCATGGTGTCTGAGGACTTCACCGTGAAGATTGGAGGTGGGGCTGAGGCGGGGCAGGTCCGGGGAGGGCGAGGGGCTCCCCACGGCAGCCGGGGGTGGCTTGGACATTGCTTGGAGAAGCTTTGACCCGTGCCAGCCTCTCCTCTCCCACTCTGCCCCTCAAGCTCTGCTGGTGTTTGGCCCTCCTCTCAATGGTGTCTTCCTTCCCAAAGACTTTGGGATGACCAGGGACATCTACGAGACGGACTATTACCGCAAAGGGGGGAAAGGGCTGCTGCCGGTCCGCTGGATGTCCCCCCAAGCCCTGAAGGATGGCATCTTCAACACTCAGTCGGACATCTGGTGAGCCCCTGGGAGCAGAAGCGGCTTTACCCCAGGGGGCACGAGTGCTGCCAGGGCAGTCTGTAGCCCAAAGGGCAGAGGGCACCCTTGGAAGGAGACCCCCAGCAGGGCTGGCAGTGCAAAGCTCCTGCAGCCAGAGCAGAGAAACCGGCTGGGCGAGGGTGCCCCTTCTCAGCCCCCCCTCTTTCAGGTCCTTCGGCGTGGTGCTGTGGGAGATCGCTACCCTGGCGGAGCAGCCCTACCAGGGCATGTCCAACGAGCAGGTGCTCCATTTTGTGATGGACAACGGGGTCCTGGAGAGGCCCGAGGGCTGTCCCGACAAGCTGTGAGTGACTCCCAGAAGGGTGGCTGTGGGTGGGCTTGTGGCCTTCGAGGCTGCGCATCCCTGGCTGGAGAGAGGCGGGAAGGCAGAAGCCCAGCCCTGCAGCCCCCCCAGCCCCCCCCCCCCGTTCCTCTCCTGCCTACTCCGGCTTCCTCCTTCTCCCCGCCAGGCACCGCCTGATGACCTGGTGCTGGCAGCAGAACCCTCGACTGCGCCCGTCGTTTGTCCAGATTCTGGAGAGCATCCAAGAGGACATGAGCGCCAGCTTCCGTGCTCTCGCCTTCTTCTGCAGCCTGGAGAACAAGCGCAGCAGCTCTGCGGGGGCTCTGGACCTTGAGACAGACAAGCTGCTGGAGGAGGAGGAGGAGGAGGAGGCCAAGCCGTCGGCCCCAGACCCTCTCCGGCCCAGGCCAGCCCAATGACTGCTGCCCGCCCAGCAGGAAGCCACGCCTCTGAGTCCGTCGGTGGGGGGTGGGGGGGCTGTGTCCTGTGCTGCTGGCCCAGAAGCACCCCTCCAATGCCAGGGGCCCGGGGAGACTGTCAAGACGAACTGCTTTATGGCTCTTTTTTGGAAGGACAAAGCCAGGCCGGGTGGGCAGAGGCTGATTGGCACCTGGGCATGAAACCCATCAGCTTGGATGTGGGCAACAAACCTCAGGGCCAGCAGCCAGGTGGGCTCACCCTCTCCTTCACTCGCCAGGCTGCCAGGTGGCGGGTTGGGGGCTGTTTCCGGAAGCAAGGCAGAGAAGGAAGTTTTTATTAAACTGTTGAAGGGACCCCAAAGAGCAGAAGCCCGCTTGGGGTCTCCCCTCCCCCAGGCGCTCTCTTTGGCCAGCGCAGGGACAGGGACCCCTCCTGGCTGAACTCTGCCCCCAAGAGGAGGGGAGCCACGGGAGGAAGCCAGCCAAGCCCGGCGTCTCCTTTACGGCATGCAAATGGTGGGACGTCCGAGAGGCCGGTGGACTCCAACGCAGCCTTTCTCCTTTGCCCGAAGGGAGCTGCGGGTCCCTCGGTCTCTCAATGGGGAGGGTCGTCTTCCTGCGATGCCCCCCACCCTGTTGCTCGTAGCTTTTCCTGGAGGGACCAGTGCTTCCTTGGGCAAGGGGGGGGGAGGGAGGGAGAGAGGTCCAGAGTCCAGGCTTGCTCCCCTCTCTTGGCAGCCCCCCAACCCCAAAGTCTGGCCAGGCTTGTCCGCTGGCTCCCTTCATGGAGGATCTCTACCCGCCACCTTTCCGTAGTCAATCTTGGCCCAAATGCACCGGCCATCCTGGCTCTCCGTCCTCCCCAGCTGGAGGGTGCAGGAGAGGCAGCGGTGAGCAGGCGGAAGCCTTATCGGGCTTGTCTTCGGAGTGGGGGCGACGGCGGGTAGTGCCGCACAGGGGGCACATCGTAGTGGCTGGGGATGTGGCTGTTTTTGGGAGAGTCGTAGTGGTTGGGGGGCACGGCTGGAGTCCCCCGCGAGACGCCTTCTGCGGCAGCTAAGAGGGGGAGAAAAGAGGATGGGGAGGAGGGGAGATGGAGCTACCAACCAGCCCCCCTTCCACCCTCAGGCACTCCCCGCCATGAAAAGCCCCTCATTGCCTCTGAAAGGCCCGAGAAAGATTTTCCCCCCCCCCCCCCCCCCCCCCCCGCATCCCTTGTGGGGTTCCCCTTCCGTCTCATCCACCCGGGTTTCTTGAAGACGGGCAGTTTGATTACGATGATCCTGACTACCTTAAGCTGATTGCCACTCGCCTCTCTCGCATTGTAATCTTAGGGTGTTGGGGCCACTGAGCGAGTTTATGTTTTGGAAAGAAAGGCCAGGCCCAGAAAGGCAATAAACGAAACTCAGCCCTCCAGACGGAGGAGGCCTCGCTTCTCGGTGTGAAAAGCCGCTCGGGCAGCCAGGACGGGCAGCAAAGTGAGGGGGGCCACCCAGCCTTTACCCCCCCCTCACCTGAGCCGTCCTCTTCCTTGGTCTCGGCGCTGCAGGAGGGCTCCTCAAAGAGGCTGATCTCCCGCTGGGAGGACGGGGGGCACTTCATCTCCATGTAGCTGCCTTCCGGCACCTTCCCCGCAGGGCCCGGGCAGTCCTTGATGGTGGCGTAGGGGTTCTCGCTGCTGAGGGAGCTGTCGCTGTGGCCCCAGGGACCCTCCTTGGCGTGCACTGGGAAGGAAAGAGGGCAGAGGGCAGCCGTGGCACTTGCTGTGCCCGGCAAGCCCCCAACTTCTCGGGGGGGGGGGAATGGGGGCAATGCTGGAGGACGTCCTGGCTCGTTTCGGAGGGCCAATTGGCGACCTCGCATTCTCCAACAAAGCAGGACCATCATCGCCTGCAGCCAGTGGCCCTACCTGGACCCCCCCCCAGCGGCTGTTCTCTGCCCAGGGGTCTCCCGCAAGTCCTGGAAAGCCCCCTTTCTCGACCTGTTACCTTGGCAGCGATATTTTCCGAGGCCATCCGTGTAGCTGCAGCTCCGGTCAAGGTAGCCTCCCCCTGCAGAAGGGGCAGTTGGCCCAATTAAGTGGGGTTTAAGGGGGTGGGGGGTGGGGTGGGGGGGTGAGGTGCGCCAGGAGCAGGAAGAACCCTGTTTTTGCGGGGTTTTGGGGTCTTTCCCCATTTTCTCCAGTCTTCATGAGGCCTCCGGGGCCTCTCTCTGGAGGGAGGTGTTTCCACCTGCCAGGTGCTCAGAGCCCGCAGGAGCTCAGCTGCCACATGGCCAGGGCTCCTGGGCTGCAGAAGGGCAGCGATTCAGGCCAAGGATTACTGGGGGGGAGGTGGGGGGCTTAAGGGGGCAAGCCAGCCTGGCGCTTTCCTCTCCCTGCCCAAACCTGCCCCCCCTTCAAGGCAGGCACTGACCGTGGGCCGGGCTTCCCCGGTGGTGCTTCCAGTCGCTGGGCAGAGTGGCGTTGCAGTCGGCCCCGTGCAGTGCTGACCAGTCTCGCTCCGGACTCTGCCAGTTGGAGAGAACATGGCATGTAAAGGTTGGGGGAGGGGAAGCTTCTGAACCAGGCAGAGCAGCCCGTTTGCGAGGGGGGCAGAAAAGGGGGCCACCAATTCCAAGAAAATAAGGACATCCGGTTAGAAACAGAGGAAGGAGAAAGCTGGAATCCTGGAATCCTTAGGGAGACCGTGCAGATTACAGGGCAAGAGAGCAGCCGCTCTGGATGCCAACCCCTGCCCCCCCCCGCCTCTTTATGTCCAGGGAGGGACCCCCCCTTATCAAGGGGAGAGGGGGTTTTCTCAAGGGGGGAGAAGGGTCACTGGGGGGGCTGAAGGAGGGGAGCCTCACCTTGCCAGGCTGGTCGGAGCTGCTTGGGGAGCAGGGCGAGAGGGTGTGGTAACTGGGGTTTGAATAATAATGGGTGTAATTCGGGGGCACATCTGGAAAGACAAGAGCCGTTGGCTTGAATTGGCATTCTTGGAAAGGCCCCGTGGTTCGCACATGTGTCCACTCGGGCACAGAGGTTGGCACACTGTGGTTGCCTCTCCTCTTTCAACTTGGTCCCCCCCCCCCCCCCGTGCCCAGCCCCAGCTCACCAGGTACGACATACTCCGAACTGTCCGTCCTCCCTGTGGTGTAGGCCACGGAGACGTGTCGCTTCTCCTTCTCCTTCTGACACCGCCGGTAGCAGAAGAAAAGCACCAGCACGGCTGCCAGCAAAGCGGCCAGGATGATGATGCCAATCACGGCCCCCAAGGACGGGTTGGCGGCTGGCAAAGCGGGCACCATGGTGAGGGGGTGATCGGGGTGGCCTGTGAATCATTCCGTTGAGGAACACGGCAATTCAGGAACCCCAGATTCAGGAACCAGGGGGCCAGCCCCGCCTGTCCAGAGACCATCCTGCCACATCTGTGCCCTCTGGACCAGGTGTCTGCAAACTTGGCAACTGTAAGGCTTGTGGCCTAACTCCCAGAATTCCCCAGCCAGCACCAGTTGAAGCCCAGAAGTCCTAAAGTTGCCAGGTTTGGAGAGGCCGACTCTGGATGGTCAAAGCTCCCAGAATGCAATTTCTGCCAGAGAGGGGCCCTGGCACACCCCCTGGCACACCCCCTGGCACACCTTTCCCTTTGAGGATGGAGCGTCCCTGTCAATCTCACCTCCAGGAAAGGACGGGAGAGAAAGCAAGGAAGGAAAGGAAGGAAGGAAGGAAGGAAGGAAGGAAGGAAGGAAGGAAGGAAGGAAGGAAAAGCAGGGCACCCCAGTGCCTGGTTCTTTTCCCTTTGTTCCTTCCTGTGCCTCAGAGCCCTAGAGAGGATTCTGCAGAAGGCGGCACAGGACGTCATACTTACTGGTCTCACAGTGGGCACCGGTGTAGCCTGAGGGGCACGAGCAGGACCCTGTGCCTGGGTCACAGAGGGCCCCATGCTGGCACTGGCACCGGGAGGTGCAGTTGCTGCCGAAGAAGCCGGAAGTGCAGCCTGCAAAACATTGGACGCGTTGCCACCATGGATTGCGCCAACCCAGAAAATGGCATTCAGGGGGTCAGGTGGGGAGGCCTGAATGGCCCAGTCCTGGCCCAGGGGCCCAGTGGGAGGCAGCCCCATTCCAGGACCCCAGAGGAGGGGCATCGTTGGGTTTCTTGATCTTGGCTTGGCGCCCATCGGACTCACGTCTTGCGCAATCGCTGCCCGTCCAGCCAGGCGGACAGTCGCAGGAGCCATCCACAGGGTGGCAGATGGAGTGATTGGCACACTTGCAGGGCATGGAGCACTTCTTGCCATAACGGCCCGATTGGCAGGCTGCATTTGGGGCGGGGGGTGGCGAGGAGGGGAAGGGGATTGAAGTCAGTCTGAGGGCAGGGGGAGATGGGACTGATGTCCATTTCTTGCCCTTCACAGCCAAGACTGGCCCTTTAGAGGGGTTTTGGCAGGGGGGCGGGTAGGGCAGTTGGCAAGCAGGCGGATTCTTCCCTCCCTGCCCGTCCCCCCAACCCACCAGCTAAAACGGAGGCCTGGGACCTCCAGAGGGGGAGGGGGATTCTGCTGCCCCAGCGAAGGTCACTTACGCCGTTGGCAGTTGGGCCCCCGGAAGCCTGGGGCGCACTCACAGATGCCATCCTTGGGGGAACAGCTGGCCCCGTTCTTGCAGGAGCACATCTGGCGGCACTGCTCCCCCCACAGGCCCTCCGCACACAGCTGGCTGCAACGGGGTCCTAGGGAGAAGGGGAGGGTCCCAGGCCAGTTGCCTCCATGGCCCACGTCAGGGGCGCTGCAGGGGCTTAGGACCTGAACCCACCTGGGCCAGCTCTGCCTGCCCATCCTGGGATGGAAGCCCCCCAGGTCGGCCCCAGCCCAGCCCCTGTCCCCCTCCTGACCTTTCCATCCAGGCAGGCAGTGGCATCGTCCAGAGACGGGGTCACAACCAGCCGCATTTTCACAGGAACACTTCCGACCGCATCCCAGGCCGTAGAACCAGCCCTGGGCAGGAACAAAAGAGCAACGGTTGGCCGGCTGAGCCCCCCCCCCCCCCCCCCCCCCCCGGGGAACTGCTCGCTATCGGTGGTCTCCTGCTTGAGCAGACGGGGGCTTGGAGTAAAAGACCCCCAGGGCCTCTTCTGCTCCAACTTCCCCCCTCGAGACCTGGTCACAGCCACCCGCCAGGACTCCTTGCCTGGGAATGCTGCCCTTGGGGGCAACCTGGGTCCTAGGCCCAAGACCCAGACGGGCTGGCATCCAAGGTCTTTGCCCTCTTACCGGGCATGGCTGCGTGCACTGGCTGCCTTGCCACCCAGCCATGCAGGTGCATCCTCCGTCAGTGGGCTCACAGGTGGCTCCGTTGGCACAGAGGCAGGTCTGGTTGCAACCGGCCCCCCAGGTGCCTGCCGAGCAGGGGGCAGAACAGTCCACTCCCTGCCAGCCTGGAGGGGAGGAGAAGAGGCAGAGGGGGAGAGGGTCACAGGAGGGGGACCTCACGGGCAGCAACTGGTGTGAGGGGTCTGGGTTCTTCCTTCTCTCGCACAAGCCGTTGGAACTCACAAAGGAAGGTATCGCCCATCCCTGCCTTTTATCTCCTCCCCAGAATGAGGGCCCACCTTGCCAGGTAGACCACCCGGGGACACAGCTACGGGAGCTATTTCAACCTTCTTGTAAAGCTCCAGTAACAGAATCTTGCAAATATGAAAGTACACTACTCCCAAGAAGCCAGGGCTCAGCCCCCTTTTATCGGTCTGCTTCCTGGGCAGCACCGCTTTGCCCGCCTCCCAAGGTCTCCCCCGTCCCAGAGACGTCCTACCTTCCTTGCAGAAACAGGTCCCATCCGCAGGAGAACAGCCCAAGGCGTTTTGGCAGCTGCACCCCTGAGAGCAGTTCACCCCAAAAGTGTCATCGGGGCAGGGGCTGGAGCAGTGCTTGTCCTGCCCAAGGTAAAAGCAGTCAGGCAACCCCGCTGAGCCCCGGAGAGCGCCCCCCTCCAGCCCCTAACAGGTACTCACTGCGTAGCCAGGTGGGCAGCTGCAGCGCCCCGTCTCGCCATCACAGGTGCCCCCATTCAGGCACAGGCAGGGGTCCTGGCACCTGAGGCCATGGGATCCGTGGGGACACGTCTCGTTGCAGTACAGGCCAGCCCACCCTGCCTTGCAGGCGCATTCTCCAGAGATGGGGTGACAGCTGTGGGGACAAGCCAAGAAACGATGCCGCCCAGGGGGCTTATCCCGAGGAGCCGGATTTCCCTGCTGGGACCACTCCCGTCTATCCCACCCAGCGGGGAAGGGCAGGTGCCTCAAGGAAACCAGGGGGCCCCTGGACTGACCTCTGGGTGTGCTGAGGATCACAGAGACAAGGAAACTGGCAGCTGAGGCCGTACAGCCCAGGAAGACATTTCCGCTCCTCGCAGTGGCTGCCGTAGAACCCGGCTTCACACAAGCAGCCCCCGCTGATGTGAAAACAGTGGCCCCCGTTGGTGCAGTCACAGGTTTCACGGCAGTCCTGGCCGTATTTGCCGATGGGACACTTCTCACGGCATCTGCGGGAGAAGCAGGAGAGTGGAGAACGGAAAACAGCTGCAACATCTGCCCATGTCGGTCAACTGCCCTGTTGGCCTAGAATGCCAGTCCCAGAGCATGGGTTGTGTCCACACCAACGGGGGTGGGTGGGAGGGGACTTCTGCCACAGGCCCACCACCAACCCCCCTCTTGACTTGGATCAGGCCAAACCCAAGCAACCAAGAGGGACCCCTTGGAGTAGTTCTTTAGAGTTGTTCGCTTACAGACAGAAACTGGCCAGACTAAAGCAATTATCCGCGTGGCTATAGAGATGCTCTGAAGTGCTAGGGAGGGTCCACCTTCGCCCTCTTCCTGCCTACCAGAGATTCCAAGCTCTGCCCTCTCTTTGCCCTCTGGGAAGCCGCTCCTGCCTCCTCGACTCTGGTCTACATTCCACCCCAGAACTGCAGGGAATTCTCTCCAAGGCAGGCTTGGTTGGGTGTGGCTTCCAACAGCGTTGCACCACCTTTAAGAGAGCCACCAGGGCTCCCCCTCAGCTCCTCCACATCCTCCTCCGACTCGGCCGCTTCCATCTTCCCCAGGAGCGCCTGCCTCCCTCCGCCTTCCCCATTCTTTGCAATTCCTGGACAGCAGCTGCAGTCTTTCCTTCCTCTTACCCTTTAGGGGGAAACACGGACTGGCCTGCTAACCACAGCCACCCTAATTGGCCAGGGGCTTCCGGCACGAAGGCTGGCCAGGTTTACAAAGGGCCGCTGCTACTTTGAGCAGAGACGGGATGACTGGCCTTGGCAGACGGGCGTGACCCTCCCGGGGAAGAGAGCCCAGTCAATGACAACTGCAGCTGGGCAGAAACCGCCACGGGTGGCCACAGGGGGTCATGCCAGGCATTGGGTGGCGGGTGCAGCTGAAGACAGTGGGTCATTTTGGGGGGAGGAGAATCCTCCCCTTGGGCGAGCCTTGCAGGCTGCGGAGTTGATCTCCGAAACAGATGCGCAACACACATCCAGTAAAGGGACGTCCTTCGTCCCTGTGGAAAACGGTTTCCTTCGCAAGCTGCGGCTATTAGTTAGTTAGGAAGTTTTTGGTTGAATGTGCCTTTTTTGTGCTGAAATTGTGCGTCCTGCACAAAGGAGCACAAGTATTCTGATTTTAGAAGACTATCTTAGCTCTGTTGCTAGTGTGAAATGTCCCAGGTTCTCCCACATCTTAAGGTCTACTTCCTGATGCTCTTCGTGGACGTTCTTTGAACTTGTTCCAGCTGGTATGGATCCAAGGCAGCCCAGATGCAGCCCTTGAGAAGTGGGTCACTTCCTTACCGAGAATCGGAAATGCGACGCCTGCCATCCTCAGCAGGCTGGGCGGCCTGTGAAGACCACCACGAGGACTGACGAGGCCCCGCAAAGACCCCCGCACTGTGGAGGGGTTACTCACTCCTCTCCCAGGTAGCCTGGCGCACAGCGGCACTGGCCCGAATCCGGATCGCACCGGCCTCCATTGTGGCAGCGGCACTCTTCCTGGCAGCTGGAACCAAAATGCCCAATGGGGCACCGGGTGGAGCAGATGTCACCCTGTGGGGGGGGAGCAGTCAGAACCTGCCTGGTGGGAGATTCAACCAGCGATATGTGCCCAAATGGCAAGGAGGTTTTGTCACACGGAACTGTGGGGTCAAGACAGCCCTTCCTCCATTCCGTGTCTCTGTTCCCATAAATAGGAAGGTAGAATCTATCCCAAAGAATTGGGGGGGGGGGGTTCCCAGCCCCTCTGCAAGAGGAAGGCTTCTGGTTCAGAGGTTAGAGGTTAGGGATCCACCGCCCTGTCCCTGCTCACCCAACCACCTACCGTCCATCCAGGAGGGCAGGCACATTTGCTGGAGGGGGGGGGATGGCAGACACCCCCATTCTGGCAGGGGCAGAAGGCTGGGCACTGGAATCCATGGGTGCTGTTGGGGCAGAGGATCTCGCAGCTGGAAGAGAGAGGGAGCGGATGGGCTCAAGGCCACCGTTGGCACCCAGCTCGTTGTGATCCACTTCAGGAGGAAATGAACTCCTAGAGATCCACCCTGTGCCCATTAGGGACAGTCAGGGCAGCCCCTCCTAGGCCTCCCCCCCCCCCCCCAAGGTTCCACACACCCAGCTGGGCAAGACTTCAGTTTGTCTCAATGGGATCCCGAAAGGATGCTACAGCCTCTCTAGTCCTCTCCAGGGGAGGCTACTTCAGGGAGGGCCGTCGGTCGCTTTCCTGCAATTTCTGGTGCTGAAACCCTCAGCAGCGGTGTTGCTCCGATGCCCCCACGTCTCTGGCGCCACCATCCCCTCGCTTGCCCCCCCCCGAGTGCCCCAGCTCAGCCTTTCTGCCCCGTCTTCCCCGCCACTCACTGTGGCCCCGCATAGCCCGGAGAGCAGAGACAGGCGCCATTCACGAGGCTGCAGCTCGCTCCGTTCTGGCAATGGCAATCCAGCTGGCACCCTTGGCCATAGGTCCCCGTGGCACAGGGCTCTTGGCACTCCTGCCCGTGGTAGCCAGGGGGGCAAGTGCAGGCCCCGGTCAGGGGGTCACAGCTGCCTCCGTTCAAGCACGTGCAGGGGCTTTGGCAGTTGGGCCCCCAGGATCGGTCGCTGCACTCTGGAGAGGGGAAAAAGAGGCCATGCAATCCAGCAGGTTTCCCGGGGCCTCAATCCAACCTGCTTCCAGGACCACTGGCTGCCATCCCGGGAAGGACAGGTGGTTCGTGTCCCCTCGCCCTGAGTCTGTCTCAGTCAGGTGCCTGGATGAGCAAGTCTGGACAAGGGCCTGGCCAGTGTCTGCCCAACGGCTGCTCTTATGGGCCAGCCCCCCCTAGCCCCCAGGCCTTTCTTTCTGAGCTCTGGGCCCTGAGGCCTGGCTCGAAGGGGGGGCACTCACCACTGGAGCAGTCTGAGCCCCTCCAGCCTTGCTCGCACTGGCATCGCTCTGGAGCCACACACCGGCCGTGCACGCACTCCTGGGCACACCGAGCTGCAGCCAAGGGGAGAAAGAGAGCCTTATCTGCAGAACTGCTTCCCCCAGGACTGCAGGGGCCACATCCCCCCTGAGCTCAACCCCAGGGACGAGAAATCCAGGCCGTTTGCACAACAGAAATTCAGGAGCAGCTTTCCGGGTCTTTTGGCATTTCCCAGTGGCCTCCCATCCCATCCCTTTCCAGCCTGGCCCTGCGTGGCTTCCTGGGTGTGCAGACCCTCCCGTTCCACAGTGGCTCCATGGAGGGGAATCGCCGTGGGGAGATGGGCTTACGGACACAGGTGTCGCTGCTCTCGTAGAACCCCTCACAACAGTGATGGCGCCTCCGGTAGTCCACTCTGACGCCTTGCCGGTAGGCCGTCTTATACAGGACTCTGGAAGTGCCAAGAGAAAAGGCTGCTGGAGAGGCCGGGACTCCGGCCATGGGGGGGGGACTTCAGGTGGGAGGGGGTCCGTGCTCACCTGTATTGAGGGCAGGTCTTTGCCCGTAGCCACGCTGGGCTTTTGCAGGGCTCCTTGGACTCCTGGACGAAGGGCTGCACGAAGGACTCCTTGGAGATGGTGGTGAAACTGGGGGGGGGGGGACAACAGCAGCTTGAATTGGGGTTTGGGGTTCGGCCATTGCTCACCCACCACTCCAATGCAGGGGGTCGACATGCCCAGGACGAGGGGAGAAATGGGGAAAGGGGCACATTCCCCAAAAACATTTTTGGAGAAATGGCCTCTTCCTAAAAAAGGGGGGGGGGGGGACACCCTGCCCCCCCCCCCCATTTTGCATTCTGGCCCCTGCCTTGCGAGGGGTCTCACCTTTCCCAGTAGCTGCAGACGTTGGGGTCGTTGGAGCTGAGCAACAGGGCCCGATCCAGCTGCAGCCACAGCACCAGCAGGGAGTAACGGTAAGCCATCATCCTAAGTGACCAGAAGGGGTTTATGGCGACTGTAGAGGCCTTTGAAGTGACTTCACGCCACCTGCCTCCCTCCTCGCCTCTCTCCTGCGTGACGTCCACACACACAGGAATGGCTGTGCAGAAAGAGGAAAGGCGCAGAGCCAGGGCTTTCTCGGGGGGGGGGGGGCTGGCATCCCAGCTGGACCAACATGGGGACCCCCAAACGGTCCTGTCCTTGGAACCGTCTCCCCACGGAACAGGACAGCTGCCTCCAAGGACAGAGGGAGAAAGCCCCACAGCCCACAAGAGGCCTGGTGTTGGCAAGGAGCTATCCAAGGAGCCTGGAGGAGCAGAGAAGGGGGGATTAGGGGGAGGGGAGGGGGGTGTGGTTCCCTGTGAGGACTGGATGAAACCTTCAGGCAGGCACCGTGGAAGACAATCCGGTTTCGCTTCTCCTTTGTTTTCGCCCTGCCTTCAGGTCCTTCGGTCCCAGCTTAGAGCGAAGGAGAAGGTCTCAGTTTGAAACAAAAGCTGGAAGCCCCCTCCCCTCCTTCCACAAACCTAATCCTGCAACTGTGGAATCTTTTTCCTAAGCCCAGGCCTGACCGCTGACCCCAGCCACTTTCTCACGGCTGCAGACGGCCGGCGGTTTTCCACAAAGGAAAACTTTACTCGCTTGGATGGCGCCAAACACACTCCTGTTACCAAACATCAGTTCCCACCGCTGGCAGTGAAGGAGTTAAGCCTCCTCCCCTCTCTGGACATGATCCCCCCCCCTTTGTTCTCCCCCCCCTTTGGCAAAAGGGCAGAGCAGCCTCCATCCACTCGGTCCAATTCCCTTCATCCCCTTTGCTGAGGCAGCAAAGTTTTGCAACCCCTTCCTGGCTGTTCCTGGGCCCCTCCTCCTGCCGTGGGCTGGGTCTCCCAGGAGCCCCGGGAGGAGAGGGGAAAACATGGGGAGGGGAGGGGAGGGGAAGGTGGGCCTGGGCCTCCTTCGTCTGCACCCCTCCCACAATTTGCACCAGAATGTCTGGAGACCCATCCCTGTCCAATGACCTGGCCGGGGTGTGTGTGTGTGTGTGTGTGTGTGTCATGGAAATGCACCCGGACGCAGGGCAGAACCAGAGGCGAGGGCGGAAGGACCCCCTGGCACCCGAAACCCAGCAAAAGCCAAGTCCTGCCACCCGTGGAGACTCACCAGCTGCCCAATCGTGTCCCTCCTTTGCCAAGAAAAGCCAAGGGGCCCCAGTTTGCCCGGCCTTCCCGCGTGTTCTGTCCAGAGACCACCCGTGTCTCCAGGAACATGCAGAGGAGGAGGAGGAGGAGGAGAGCTTCCCCCCCCCATTACTTGCAAAGCTGGAAGCAGGCGAGTTCCCTGGGGAGGGGCGAGCTGCTTGGATAGCAACCCAAGACAGGCCGGGCCGTTTGGAGGCTTCTCCAAGTCTTGGGGAGCCGGTGGGGGCTGTGCACGCAGCCCACGCACCTCTTTGCAAGCAGGGCCTGCTGGGGCCGCCCCCCCTCCCCCCTCTCCAGATCCAGCCCATCTGAAGTCTCTCAACCGGGAAGGAGTCCCGTCCTTCCAACTTTTCCAGCAAGGGTGTCAGAACTGGAGCTACGCGGAGCAAAGGCTCACCACCGCTCGCTCCCTTCTGCGTTTCCAGGGCCCAAGCAGGTGGGGCTCCCCTGGCCCCCCCTGCCAGTCCCTGGATGGGGCTCCCCTGGCCAGAGAGGGAGGCGCTGCTCCTCTGCCTGGCTGCAAACAGGAAGTGACCCTGTGGCTCTGCAGGCGGAGGAGCGTGTGGGAAACGGAGCTGCTCTCAGGACGTCCCGCCAGGGCCCCTGCAGCCTGTGTGGGGCAGGCGGAAAGGAGGACAGCCATGCCGCCTCACCTCAAGAAGGAGGCAGCCCCGGGCGGTGCTGGCTGACTGCAACAGGCAGAGCAGGATGGGACTTGGCTTGCGCCGGATGGGGGACCACCAGGTGATCTTAGGGCTGCAGGCTAGAGCAGGAGGCTGAAAAACAGGAAGACCCAGCTGCTGCCGAGGGAAGTAAAGGTTTCCGATGACCAGAACCACAACAGTGTGTGTGTGTAGAGTTGCTTTGCCTGCCACCTGTGTGTAACTTCACGGAGACGTTTGTGCAAATGTCCCAGATCACCCTGGCTCTGCGTCTCCATTTCTGCAGGCAGGAAGAATAAGCGGGTCCCGTAACACACCCCACAGACCAAGGAAGACCTGGGTGGGCGGAACGTTAATGGCCGGGATTTCGGAAGAGAGACACGGGAGCATCAATCTGCAGCTGGAAGACTTGGCTGCGAGGCCTGTGCTGAGCCCCTGCAGGGCTGGTGGGGAGGGGGCTGCGGGGGTGGGAGGGAACAAGGAGAGGCCGGAGCAAAGCTGGTTTGAGTTAAAGCTGCTGCCCGGAGCATCCCTGCGTGGGAAGCGGGGGAGCCAGAACGGGCTGGATTGCAGATTTCTCGGCAGACGAGGGGAGGTCTTGGGGGCTGCAAGGGCCCCCCCCCCCCCGGGCCCCCCCCCCCCTTGCCGCAGCATGGAGGGGAGGGGCTGCTGTTTGGCCAGAGGGGGTGAGCCTGTAAGCCCTGATTTCTCCGGAGGCTCAAGTGCTTCGGAAACAAGGCCCAAGGGGACCCAAAACAGCAGGGAGGGCAGGCAGGCCAGCAGAAGGGGGGCAGCCGGCTCACAAGGGCCCCTCTGCCAACCCCGCCCTGGCAGAGGGGCAGTTGGGTCCCCTGGGAGCCATTGGCTGAAAGGAGGCAGGCAGAGGGGGCGCCAGTCCTGGGTTGCAGGCCCAGGGAAGAGGAGGGGGCTCCCCAAGGCCTCCTAACCCCCCCCTTGCAGCTGCCTTGATGCAGGAAAAGGCCAGAGCAGGAGAGGAAACAGGCAAGAGACGGGCAGGAAAAGGGGGTTTGCCAAGCACACGCAGGCCAGGCGTGGTGGCAGGCATGACATCTCAGGTGCCTCGGTGCACAGCCTGGAAGGGGCCCCCCAGAGGGTCGCCAGACGAGCCCCCATCCCCAGACGGTAACAGGAAATGGCTGTGCCCCAGATGTAAAAATCCCCCCCTTCTCCCCAAACGTCACAGCGGTGCCAGACCCTGTTCTGAAGGCAGGAGGTGGGGGGGGAAGTGCCCTGCTTGCTCCTCCCTCCCGGCCTCCCCTCTTTCCTGCCCCACAGATAGAAAGCTCCTGTTTACACCCCCAAAGCATCACCGGACCCCTGTCCTGCTTCCTGTTTATCAGAAAGGAGCAAGCAGGGATGTCAGCCAAAGGTGGCCGGGCGAGGCTTGGGAGGCACGCCGGACCTCTGCTCTCCAGGGGCCACGCTGGGCTCCGCTGGCCCCGTCACGCTTGCAAGGGGGAGGGGCCCAGGAACGGGCTGGGAAAGGGAGCAGATCGAGAAGGGGCCAGGCTGGTTTCCTGGGTCCCTCTTTATAATAGTTAATGATGATAATGATGTTGTTGTTGTTGTTGTTGTTATTATTATTATTATTATTATTATTATTATTATTAATTAATTAATTAATTAATTATTATTATTATTCTGCTACTTCACAATCTAGTCAAGTTCCCCTAACCCAGTTTAACTTTCCTTCTCGGCCAAGATAACCTGCCCCCCCCCCCCCCCTCCCCTCCCCCCCTTTCCACCCCCCCAAGCGATCCACGGAGGAAGCAGGTCCCCCTTGCAAGGCTGATTTCTGCTTGATCTCCAGAGGGACCCGGGGGAGCTTCCCCCCGCCCCCCGGGCGAGCTAGAGCTGCGGTTTCCTAAGAGTCCTGCTGGCCAGAGATAAGCCTTCCCGGTGACCTCGCTGGGCATTTTTAGATGGCCCGTCAAACTAACCCTTCTCCGCCGCCGCCGCCGCCACCACCACGAAGCTTCATCTAGGAAGTGGCCGCGTTTTCAAGGGATGAGTCATGGATGCTGGAGGGAGTTGAACCCAGGGCTTCCTCCACCCCACCCAGCCCAGCTGGGGACGAAGCTATTCGCTAGGACTGGAGGCAAAGCCTTAGAGGATTCCGGGGTGGGGGTGGGGGCTGAGAAAGAGGGGGGTGGCTTGAGGGCGCAGCTCCAGAGGGGCCAAAGCGTCTCCGTCTGTCCCCTTTGGGCACATGGAGGCCTCTTCACACGTACAACAAACATCGCCACCCACTCTGGCTTCGAACAAGCAGCCCTGAGCAGAGACCCCCAAGGGGGCCGGGGATCAAGGGAGGCTTTGAGTGGGACACCTCAGATTAAAAGAGCACCGAGCTCTTGGGGGACAAGCACAACGTCACTGAAGGGAAGGGACATCGTTCTACCTAACACGCCCAAAGTTCCAGCTCTGTCAGCTTTGGGGAGGACAGTCTCCTGGGGGTGGGGGGGTGGCCAAGGCAAGGGCAGTCTAGCTAGATGCCCCCCCCCTTCCAAGCCAGCCAAGGGGAAGCCCTGCACTCTGCTCTGGTTGACACCTGAGCTCTGTGCCCGGACACCATCGTCTCCAGGTTCATCCCCCCCCCAAAGCTTACCTCCTTGAGCTTCCCAAAGGCAGTGGGGGGGGGGGGGCAGGGCTGCCTGGGTGGGCTGCTCGTCCTCACTGCTCCTCCCCCAGGAGCCGCTCTTGTCCAGCAAGAGGCCGAACCCGGTCCCAGCCTCAGAGGAGGGCCGAGAGGGACATCCCAGCCCTCCAGGGCCTGCCTCCCTCCTTCAGGATCTTCCCAGGCTGAGTTGGGTGTCCGAGAGCGCAGGAGAAGTGTGAACATGGGACTGGAGGGGAGGGGGGACAGCGAGGCAGGAAGGGGCCGGGTTCAGCTGGCGCCTTCAGGAAGCTTTGACGAGGAAGCTGAATGGAAAGAAACAGCAACAACAAAAAAATAGTAATTTTTTTGGCAAGAAAGCCAAAATGTTTGGAACATGCGGACTCTCTCGTGAGAAGCAGAGCTCCCCCCCCCGCCCCCCGTCTCTGCTCAGCCCTCGGAGGGCGAGGTCGGGGTGGCCCAGGGACCATCGGGGGTGGGGTGGGGGAGTGGGGTACGGTGCCCCTCCCCCTCTCCTGCAGAGACGCTGGACGTTGGGGCCGCCCATCCTGTCTCAAAACTTGCCCTCTGCAGAAGCTGCGACCCAAAAGGTCGCTTTGATCCATGGAATGAAAGGATGAATAGCGCAGCAAAACTTCCTTGCAGCTGTAGCTGAACATGGGGGGGGGGAACCAGTAGCGTCAGGAGCCCCCTCCCCAAAGACGAAGCAGAGACCCCCACCCACCCCGTTCGCTCCCCAAGACGAAAAGCACGTGATTTGTCCCCACTGGAGCTCCTGCATCTCTTCTGGTTGGCACTGGGGTTGCGGGGGGGGGGGAGATCACTCGGGGAGGGGGCTTTCCCAGGGCCCTGCAGAAGGAAAGAGACCCACAGAGAGGGATTCCCCTTGAAGGGTTGCTGGAACTCAGCACCCGGAACAGCTCCCAACTCCGTCCTAAAGGAGGCAGCGGAGCCAGTCAGCTATTTCCCCAGGTCTCTCCCCTTCCTGGGGTCCTCTAGAGGCGGCTGCTGCTGTGAAGGGAGGGGCCCGGATTGGGTGGGGAGGAGCTGAGGGCTATAACCAGTTGCCTCGGCCTCCACCAGGGGGCAGCAGAGACCCTTGGCCACTCCAGGCTATGCCAACTGGCCTGGCATCCCATAGACTCGGTGCCAGTTGAGCTGAGCCCTGGAGATGACGCCCACAGCTGCATTTATAGGGGGTCCAGTTCCTTCCTTAGCCTTGCCAGGGCCGTCCTGGCTGGCCTCACCCAGGACCCCAGAGTCCACTGGGCCCATGTCCACCTCAGGCCCATCCTTGGGGGCCACATTCACCCACTCAAAACCTTTTGCAGGGGGTCTGGATGAATGTGCCCCCCATGGAAAGATTCCCATGCAAAGATGGCAGGCGTGAAGTCCCACCAAGATCAGCCGTGTGGGGGGGTGGGGGGGTGGAATGCCGCCAGAAGTCCTGGACAGCTGGTCAGTGGCGGAGGCTCTTGCTGGAGCCGGCCATGGCCTGAGGGGAGGGGGCTCCATTCCTGGAGGAAACGTCCTGCACCAAGGGCCCTCCTCCTCCTCCCTGAATGGTCATCCCCAGATCGGCCACTCCGGCCGCTCTCCCGCTTCCCCAGCTGCAGAGGACAGATGTCAGCCCACCCCCCCCCCACGAGCCGAAGGACTACGCGGTAACGATTTCCACATTCCAGAGGTGCTGCCTCTCTGCCAGGCGACCTCCCATCACCGGGGCAGCCATTAGTTACAATTAGCCCGGCCGACGGGGAGGGGGCTTGATGGATGGGCTTCTGGGGGTTTCAGGGTGGAGGGAGAAGAGGAAGGAGGCCATCAAAGGGCCATCACGCCCCGGGGAGCATTCCAGGACCTCAGCCAGCTGCTCCACACCTCTGATGCTTCCCCATCTCCCCCCATCTCCCCCCACCCCCAGGAACCCTCAGCTTCAGCACTTCCTGGCTGCCCCCCCCCCCAGCAAAGGAGACTTCCCTTCTATGGTCCTTCGTCCCCCCAGCACAGGCCGAAAGGGGCAGCAGGACCCCTAGAGGCCAGCCAGGTGAGATTACCTGTTAGCAGAGTCCGCCTCTTTTCCTCTCTCTCCTCTGCCGGCTGGCCTTCTGGTGCTGCTAGCGCCTGAGATGGGGACAGTGGGGGCGGGCTAGGCTGTGGGCCAGAGACCCCCCCAAAGGGCCAGCTGGCTGTTCCCTCCCAGCCTCTCTTCTGCGGAAGGCAACCGAAGCCCCTTCCTCAGCACTTCCAAGCCGCCCCGGGAACTCCTCTGAAATGGAAAACCGTCTGGAGCCGGCCCAGTCTCTCGCCCAGGAGCCCTGCAGGTCTCCCCGCTTCCCTCTCCCTGCCCCTTCCTGGGGAGACCTCCATGCCTCCCTCTCTCCTGCCCGGTGCCCCATAGCGCTGCCTGCCCCAGACCCCTTTCCCAGGGGGCCCCGTCTCAGCTTCAGCTACTGAAGAGAGTGAAAATGCCCCTGGAACAGCAATGGCAGAATTCCGGTCAATATTCAGAAGGAACCCCCCCCCCCACTTCCTTTCCCCACCTGCTTCAGATTCCTCTTCCTGTTGGGGGAGGCCCCTCCTGGCTATCCTGGGGGTCTTACGCCCCCTTGACAGGGACTAGGTCCCTGCAACTCATGGCCCCTAATTCTTGGCCAAGGAAAGCTGTTTCCCCCCCCCACTAACCCCCCCATCTCCTGGCTACCCAGAGCAAAATGGGGGGGGCATCGAGCCTGGCAAGGATGCCCCTCCTTTCCTTCCTGTGCCCCCCTCCATATCAGGGCTCAAGGGAAGCCCCCCCTCGCCTTCTCTTCTCTCCAGCCCCCCTCCCCCCCCAAGAGTGGCCGGGTGTCATTTGTCAATGCTGCAAACCCAGCCGGGAGACGCACTCTGAAACTTGATGCCACCCCCTGCTCATCTGGGTGGGGGGTCTTTTCCCAGCTCAGCCCAGGGATGGGGAAGGAAGGTATGGCGTGCTGGCTGGCGTGGCTGGCGTGGCAGTGAGGGCGGGGAGCCTTCCCAGGGGCTGAATCGAGTTTCCCCCACGTCTGCCTGGGCAGAGGGGACCCCTAGGGGCTCATCCGGAGCTCGGCCGGTGGCCCTGCTGCCCTTGCCCACTTTCAGGGGCTTTGGGGGATGCGGTGGCTGGTGATGGCCCCCCAACGCGCAGCTGGTCTCCTGGGATGGCCGGGGCTGCCGATCCTTGCTCCCTTCTGACCCACAACTCCCAATAGTCCTAGAGCCTCCGTGGGCCCCCAACGCCCTGCTCCTGCCCTGGATGCCAACTGGTGGCTTGCCACGTTTGGCCCAAGGACGTAAGGCCCACCCCCACAGGCTGAGGGAGCCGTTGCGTGCCACGCTGTGGAGTTTGCTCTTGGGGCTGGCAGGAATCTCCCCGTGGGTCCGGGTTTGGGGCACCCCCTTCTGCAGTGGGCCCTTGGTGCCCGTTCTGCCCCTGAGTGGGAAGGGCGGTCCGCTGGCCCCTGAACCAAACACCGCTGCCTCCCCCCCCCCCGCCCGTCTCGCCTTTGGCGACAAGCAAACGGGCCTGTTCATCACTCCGATGTAATCAATTCGGCCCCATTAGAGACCCAGCTGGCCAGGAGTTGCTGCCCCCATTTCTCCACAGATGTGATTACCGAGGATTCAATAAGGCTTTTGATTAGATGAAGGTGTGCATTTTCTTTCTCTCGGGGGGCCAATCGCTCTTCTTGTCACCCCCAATCAGCCGAGGGAGGCAGAGACGTGGCTGGCAGCTGAATCGGAATGATCTCCTGCCCAGATCGGGTGGGCCGAAGGACCAGGGGACGCCCTCCGCAGCTTCGCACAGGGGGTTCGCTAAGGGGGGGCAGGGAAGAGAAGGGACCCCTTTCCTTTGGCGGAGGCCTGGCAGACCCCAAGGAAAGCCCATCTTCTCGGGGATGAATAATCAGAGAAAGGAGTGAAGGTGGACTGGATCCCTCCTGCCTCGAGACCAGACAGATCCCTGGAAGAGATCACTCAGAAAGAGCCTCCAGGCCTGGCCTCTCATTCCAGAAATGGGAAAACAGATTTTGGCTACAGGAAGATTCGGATTACAGAATAGACCCCAGCAGAATTCGTGTATTCCTGCAAAGAGGCAGAAACGGAAGGGAAGAAATGGTTCCCGTGCCCAAAGGGCCTGGCTTTGACTGGGACCCCCAAATTTGGAGCAAGCAAAGGAAGGCCCAACTGCACCCCACAAACGAGGGCAGATGAGGATTTGCGGGGTTCCCTCCCCAGTCCTGCACGGTGGTCTCTGAGCGGAAAGAAAAAGGCAGATGCGTCTCCTCTAAAGATATGAATGAATCTGAGAGATTTTATTTCATTATTCAGCCCAGGTTCTCTCCAGCATGTTCTTCCAATTCATACACACATCTTGAACACCAAGAGCTCAGCCTGGGCATGGCACGCCCACCCCCCAAACCTCCATTGGGGAGACAAGTAGGGTCTGGCCAGTCCACAACCCCCCAGCCAATATAGTCAGTGCTTAGAAAGGTGGGGGCAGAAGGATGGAGGAGCCCCTCCGGCAGAGCCTAATCCCTCTATCGGGGCGGGGTCTGCAATCCAATTAAATGTCACTCCTTAATCCCCTCTGCCTTGAAAACGGCATTTCTGCCCCCCCTTAAGAGTGGGGCACAGGGAAGAGCCCATGTTTGGGGAGGGGGGTGTTCTGAGGAAGGGGAAGGTGACCGATTGTCCTGCACGCTAATCTTTTGAAAGGCACTTTCCCAAAGAGCCTCTACTAGATCCCGCTTGTCCTCTGAGAAAGTGTGAAAAGCTTCACAATCAAGTGTGAAAAGCCGGCAGGGCAGGGGAGCAAAGGCAGGCTGGGTGGCCAGAGGGCTCTCGCCTTGGCAGGGGGGCTCCTTGCCCAACAAGCCGCCCGCTGATTATGGCTTCAGCCCACCTGGCGGGGGGGGGGGGGAAGCAGGTTATTTTGAATGCCATATTCAAAGCAGCAGCGTAGCTTCGGTTTAGACTGAGACTCACTGGGGATGACGGGGCTTCTGGGGGTCTTAATCAACGGGGGGGGGGGGGGGGGTCCGTCGCCCTTTGCCAGACCGTTCTAAATCTCAGGTTGCTTTTTGCACCAGGGTTTGTCTGATTCCTCCAGATCCACCACCCCACCCCCCCATTGCCAGGAAAAATGTAATTATGACAAGGAAGGATCTCCAGCTCAGGACAATAAATAAGAAGATGGAAGGAGGAGCAGCTTTTCTCCTGCTGCCCCCCCCCGCCCCCCCCCCCCCCCCCCGCACCACCGGAGGCGTCTGGAGAGAGTCACTCAGGGAGGACAGAGACACCGGTTGACGTCACCCTGGAGAGGCTGAGTGGCATCCCCCCCTCCCTCCCCCCCTCCCCTCCAGGCTCTGCCGGGCAGGACCAGCTCCAGCGAATTCAGGCCATCGGGTGGGGCTTCCATCGGGGGGGGGGGTCGGGGTCTCTTTCCCTACCCTAGCCTTGACACACACGCAGGAGGTGGGGAAGCCTTCCCAGTCCTGCCCACAGCAGGCAGAGAAACGGGCTGGCTTTCCCGAGAGGGAAGAAGCGTTTTCCATGGCAGGCGGAGTTCAGGCAACGGGTCCTGCCTGGGTTGAGTTTCTCGGTTGGATGGATGGATGGATGGATGAGCAGATGGAGAAGGTTGAGGGGGGGGGGCTCCCCGCCTGCCCCCGCCTGCCCCTTAGCTGAGAATAGCCAGGTACACTGGGGGGGCCTTGGCCATCGCCTGCAAGCGGCTGTGGAGGCGCTTCATGCTCTGCCGCTGCTGCGGCTCCCGTTGCCAGCAGCTCTGCATGATGTCGTAGACCTCGGAGGGGCAAGTGCGCGGCCTCTCCAGCTCCCGGCCCTGCGTGATGCACTCGATGGCCTGCAAAGCGGGAGAGGGGCGAGGAGCATGGCCGGCTTGTGGGCTAGAAGCCCCGCAGGGCCACGGCCACCCTGCCTGCAGGCTGCCCTTTCGGTTCGGAAAGCCGGCCGGAATTCCCCTGGCGGGGAAGTTCTCGTCCCAGGAAACCAAAGGGCCCCCCCTGAAAAGTGGCTGCCCACGCAGGAAAGTCTGGGATTGGCTAACCTGGGGAAGAGAGACAGCCCCCCCCCATTCACTGGGGACTCACCCCGCCCTTCCCCTTTCCCTCCTGGGGTGTCCCGCCCTCCCCCAAAGCTGGCCATGGGCTGAGCCTCCCGCAGTCCCATCCGCACGGCCATCGTCCAGGCCCAGCCGTCCACAAGCAATGGGAGCAAGTGAGGGGCAACGTCCGCCCTCCCCTCCTCTGTTACCTCCCCTCCCTCCCCTTTACCTCGGTGTTGGAGAGCTGGTACCAGGGCTGCTTCCCATAGGTGAAGATCTCCCACAGGACCACGCCAAAACTCCAGATGTCGCTCTCGGTGGTGAACTTGCGGTAGAGAATGCTCTCGGGGGGCATCCAGCGGATGGGGAGCATGGTACGGCCCCCCACCTGGAGAGGGGGGGAGGCACGGGGTGAGTGGCCGGGGGGCCCAAGCGAGCGGGGCCAGGTGGGCGGAGCCCGGGGGGACGTTGCAGCGAGACGCCACATGGGCCACGGCAGGGGTTGGAGTTGGGCATGTTCCTTGCCAGGCAGGATGGAGGGCCCAGGCAGGGCGTGGAAGGCATGCCAGTCAGGGGGGCACAGCACCCTCAGAATTTGTGGGGGAACGGCAGCCTTGGGGTCGGGCATGACCTCCGCCCCAGGATGGCCTCCCTTCCGCTCCAGGAGGTGCACCTAAGCAGGATGCTTCCTAGGGAGGCCCCCAAAAGTCTCCCCCTCCCCCTCCTCCCCTCCCTTTCCCGGCCTCCATCTGCTTTCTTGCTCCTTGCCTCCCCCCCCCTTTTAATTAACCGTTAAATAGCAGCTCCCCCCCCATCTTTCCACTGGCTAAGTGCTGATCGGTTTTTCCACCCCAGGCCCCATTAAATATGAATAGAGGCTGGGGGAGAAACTAAAAGGGAAAAAGAGGGGGAGGGAGGGAGGACTGGCCCAGCCTGGTTCCCCCTGCCGGGGAGGGAGAAGGGCAGCTGAAGCCTGAATGCCAGCCTGGCAGAGAAGCCCCCAAATGCCCAGCTGTCCCCCCCGAGCATGTTACAACCCCAGAGGCACCGGCGCTGTTGGTGAGGATCCCTCTTGCACCTCGGGGGCAGAAGCAGAGGGTCTCCCGGGGGGTGGGCAAAGAGGAGCCCCCGGTGCCAGCCAGGAGAGAGCGGGGCCTCCCGGCGGGACTGGCACAGGCGACAGGAAGGCAGCAGGCTCCGAATCGCCTGCGGAGAGGGGCAGTGAGGCCAAGGTCGGGGGGGCCTAGCCCCCCCACCCCCAGAAGGCCGCAGGTCACCCCCGCCCTCACCCGGTAATAGTCGGTGCTGTAAACGTCCCGTGACATGCCAAAGTCCCCGATTTTCACCACCAGGCCGTGTCCCACCAGGCAGTTGCGGGTAGCCAGGTCCCGGTGGACGAAGTGCTGGGAGGCCAGGTAGACCATGCCGGAGGCGATCTGCGTGGCAATCTGCAGCATTTCGCTCAGGGTCAGCTGGCCAAAGGACGGGCCGTTCCCGCTGTCCAGCATCTTGGCATCAGGCCCGTGTGACCTGCAAGGGGCGGGGGGGGGGGGGAAGGTGAGACCCTCCCCTGCTTGGATGCTGGACCTCTCAAATCGCTCCTTCCGAGCCGTGTGTGGCTGGGATTGGCGTCCACCAGGCCGGATGTCCAGTCTTCTGCTTTGGTCACCTTCTCCCCGGAACCTGACAACCTCCAGAAGGGTTTGGGGATGGCAGGATTGCAGCTGAGGGGGGGTGAGGGAACCTCCCCACCACGTGCCCACAAGAGATGGCCAGTCATGCAGGCGCAGAAACCCCCCACTATCTCAGGGTTCATCCCAAGGAGCCACTCCTGGTCTCCTGCGGCTGAAGGCGGCTGGGCACCCTTTGGCTCTGCCCCAGGGCCTGCGGGATGGCCGCCCCCCTCCAGCAGGGCGGGCCGGGGCCTTTCCTCCCAAAGCAGGTCCCCCTTTTCTTCCTTGACACAAAACCCGACCGAGGGAGCCGGCTGAGGCCCTGGGCGCCCCCACCCCCCCGCTCCATTAATGCCAACTCTTATCACCGTAAGGCTGCGAGCGGCAGGGCGGCTGGCAGCTCTCGCCTACGGGCAATACCTGGGGGCCGATCGAAAGAGCTTCTGATTATTCCCGCTGATGGCCAATCCCCTTCAATTTGAGCCTTTCAGACAACTAATCTAATCAATATTGCAAAGGGAAGATTGCATTAGCCGCGGAGGAGGGAGAGAAGGCTGGGGAGGCTGCTCCAGTAATGGAGAAGGGGGGGGGGGGAACAAGGGGGGACGGTGGTGGGCCACACGGATCCAACCTCTGGAAAAGGAGAGAGACGGAGAGAGAGAGGCTCTGAGCCACGCAGCCCCTCCCTGCCTGCCGGGCACCCCACTCACCGGAGGAAGCGGTTGAGGTCCCCGTGCTTCATGTACTCGAAGAGCATGATGAGGGGCTCCCCGTCGGTGCAGACCCCGTAGAACTTGACGATGTGCTCGTGCTGCAGGACGGTCAGCAGCTCGGCCTCCCGCTGGAAGTCCAGCCGGGCACTCTCTGTGGCTTCTTTCAGGGTCTCCGGAGAGAGGGAGGAGGGAGGGAGGGGGTGCTCAGCGAGGAGAGTTGGGGTCCCAAACCAAAACGGCTGTGGGACCAGCTCAGTAGTCCTTCCAGGTGGCCCCTTCCCCAGACCCAGAGGGGCGAGAAAGGGGGGCAGGAGGGGAGGGGTCCTCACCTTCACGGCCACCAGCATCTTCTCCTGGGTGAGGCTGAGGTTGTGGCACTCGGCCAGGAAGACCTTCCCGAAAGCCCCCTCGCCCAGCTCCCACTTCAGCACAATCTCCCTGCGCTTGAGGTGCCGGACAGCTGGGCGGGGGGGGGGGGGGGAAGGCAAGCATCAATGAGGGGGTGGTCAGAGGGAGATCCCTTGGGGCATGTGATCCTGGGTGGGAGCAGGGTGAGAGAGCCCAGCTGGGGACCAGGAGGGGCTGAGAAAGTGCCCCCCCAGCAGTGCAGCCCGCCCCCCCCCAGCCCCAAGGACCTACTGGTGTTGCAGAAGTACTGGGGGTTCTCCACGAAGCTGCTCTTCAGCCCCTCCAGCTTGGCCTCGACGGAGGAGCGGGGGCTGCTGCTCCCCCCGTCCATGAACTGCAGGGCCAGGGCCAGGTTGTCCTCTTGAGCCAACACCACGGACCCTGTGGAGGAGGCCAGGGGGTTGCCGAAGCGGCCCAGCGGCTGCGTGCCAGGCCTGAGGCTCTGGAGGGGCGTGCGGGTCAGCTGGCCGGGTGTCGGACGGTCACAGAGACTCCCAGGTGGGAGAGCAGCCAAAGAGCCTGGCTGGGTCAATTGGGGGTGAATGGCTGGAAGAGTTTGGTGTGACCAGCACTGGGGGGGTTTACCTTGTGGTGGGAAGCCCAGCCTGCCTGGGGAGGGTTTAAATTTCCCTGGGGAAGTGCCCTCCCAGGAGACAGCCCACAACAGCCTTGACGAGGAGGAGGAGGAGGAGGAGGAGGAGGGAAAGCAGCATAATTTTCAAGGAGTTGGCAAACTCTGGAAGAGCCTCCATGCAAATTTTGCAGAGCTGGTTCATCCAGCCTTGTCCTGGGATGTTCTTTGACTTTCCTCTCTGACAGTTTTGGATTTCCTGGTGGTCTCCCACCCACCCTTTCAGGCCCAGGCCAGGCGGTTCAGGGGCCGAGACTCCCTTTTCCAGGGGGTCCTCCAGGGAATCCCCCAGACCTGGCAGGCCGGAGGAGGCCGGAGGAGGCAGTGCCGCTAGGAAGGCGCATCTGTGGCCTGAGCAGCCTGCGGTGCGCGAGGAGGGGCTTGTGTGCTGCGCCAATCTGGTGCCCCCTCCTGAAAGGCCGGCCGTGCCGAGGGAGCCGTCAGCCGAGCATTTAAGCCTCCAGTAATTACTGTGAGAGGGTCCGAGCCCCCCCCCCAGCGCCTCCCCATACTTCCTCATCAACGTCTGGATGGAGCCTGGGGGGCGGGGGGAGAGGACGGCTCCGGAGCCGCTCTGGGGGAGAAGCGGGCGGTGGGCTTCCAGAAGGCTCTCGTGCTTCTCCTGGCGGGACCAGGAGGGGCTGACCTGGGTAGAGGGTCAATCCTGCCACCCTGCTTCTTCTGCAAGAGCAGCCAAAGGCCGCTGGAGACTACCTGGCAATGGGTGGGGGGGAGCAGGGAGGCCCGGCAACCGGCAGGCCTGGGCAGGCAGCGTCTTATGCCCCCCCCC